TTAGCGGTTAATTTGTGGTCATCCAAAATAAAATGTTACATGATTATCTCTGAATGGGGGATAATCGGCTTACACAAACCCATCCAGAGGGCTTTTAGCCAGTCGAAGGTGCCATCTCCCTGAGGCCGCACATTTCTGTTCGTCTTTTGGATTCACCCACAATACAATGAATGCCTACAAAGGTTACTAGAACGTAGTATCCTAAATGTCATAAGTCAGCCTTTCTAATTTGTAAATGGTCTCTAAATGAGTTTACACCGATAACATATATTTTAAAGACAAACACATATCTCTTTTTCTGCTTCCAGAGTAGAACCATATGGGTCTTCTGTTACCGGTCACACAGCTCCGATAAGCTCCTATGGGCAAACACTGCCAGAAAATATAATAAAGAAAACACCGGATGGCTTATTTAGCCATCGTCACATTTAAAGGAGAAATGATGCTGTCACAGAGTAACATATTTGTCATCATTTCATAAAGTCACTTAAATTCATTCTGAGCCTCCACTGTTTACACTGTTCTGGCCTGCAGCAAAAACACAATCGTTTTTTCATGTTGCACTCACTGTGCAATAGAGATAACAAGCTATTCTCAGCTATTTTTATCAAATGGACATGGTTAAGAGGCACTTGGACACAATTTCTTGGGAGAGTACTGCAGGAACCTCAAAATGCACCTTTAAAATGTATCTGCTAAGCCTGTTGTGAGTCCTTTTAGATACAAGTTGCATTTTTTGGCAACACAACTGATGATAAATTAAATCAGAAGTTGCTGAGTACTTTTTAAAAACAGTTTTATTGCAGTTTTATGTTTGTGGATGAAAATATAGTTTATGTGGTTATGTTGAGCTACTCTCGCTTCTATCACGTTGTTTGCTAAAGCTAACTTTGTTGTTTTTTTTTTTCTCAGCTGGCATTATGTGCAACACAAGTGCTTTTTAGTTCAATTGATTATATTTTCAGATTATGCCAATGGTTGTATTCTGGTCTTTTTGCTGAAGTTTGAGGATGGGTTCCTCAACTGTTTTTATTTTCTCTCTCACACATGTATAGTCAAGGCGATGAACCTGAATATTTTAAGGCATAAATATTATATCTATTAGAGTTGCCAGATAGAAAAGTACTTGTTGTTAGGTTTTTTTATTTTATATTTTAAAAGAAACATGTCGTTTTTATGTTTAATAATTATTTTACTTGGAAAACTTATGTTTGGACCATTTGTTCTAGAAAGTTGCACAGTATCTGTGCAGTTTGAAACTCATACATCATTATTCTTATGTGGTTTTGTAAATAGTCACCTGAAACTTTATCAAATTTAAATTGTCATCCAACGTGTCTGTCTGTGTTTTTATGTTGATACTGTAAATATTTATTATTTGAAGTATGCTGAAAATGTTACTATCCTGGTGAAATGTGTGGTCATTCATTTCTAACAGGAAAAAGAGAATAGACAATTGTAAATCTGTTTTAGCTTGATTGAAAAACTGTTTAAGTTTGTGAAATGTGATGATTCAGATGAACTCGTTCTTAAAAAGCGTAATCATCTAGGACACAAACACTATCCTGAACGCTGATGACATGTTGAACTCTGCCCATCAAACCGCCTCGGTGTGGGACTTTATGTGGTTGGGACAGATGTCCACTTCCAGAGACAACGTCCCATCAGTCCCTGAGAAACCTCGCCAGGCTTTGGCTCACTCTGGTGCTCACACATTTCCAAATGTTTTCACTCAGAGGGGTCTGGCACCCATCCATGCTGGAGGTGGAGTTTTGTATTGCCTGGTGCAATGCTTCTCCCTCAGCTGTCTTCTATGTCCTATTGATGCCCTAAAGAGTCCAGGTTAGAGGTCAGCCCTTCAGGGGTGTCAGGGTCAAACTTTGGCTCATGAATATGGAGAAACACTGGGCTCAGGGGACCATCTGGTCGGCCCTTTTGGAAACCAAACAAATGATCCTGCTGAGAAGGGGCATATTAGTGTAGTTACTGTGGACTTCCCAGGCCTTAAACATGCCTCTGGCAGGACTTACTGGTTTTGTTTTTTGTTGCATACTTATGCAGAATGTGGATTAAACCAAAGTGAAACAAGAAAAACCAGACAAAGCTTCCATAAATTAATCACTGCGAAAATGATTTGTGTTCTTCTGGGTCAAAATGAATCTCATTATTTGTGATTTGTAATTTGTTCTTTTGCCTTTTGTGAACACTTTGTGTAGTTCTGGCGATTTTGCTTACTGCTTCAGGGATTTGATTTTCTAAGGATTGTCTGCAGCAAGGAAAGTAAGCATTGAACATTTTCATAACCTTTATTTTACCAGGTGAAATGTTGCAGAACTATTTGCCAAAAAATGTTGGCCTACAGAACTGTGCAGTTTAAGAGCTGCATGGTTGAAGACACTGAGAAATGCAGCTCTCTCTTGTTTCTCTCACTGCCACAGGTGACATGGAGTCCATGAAAGCAGAAATATCTGCCTAAAGATTAGAAAGAGATACTGTGATGGTTTGGACACCTGTCACATCCAACTGCACTGATAGAGGGAGAACAACAGAGCTTTGGCAGGTGTTCAATGGTTATGCTTGCATCAGTTTTTTTATTCTTTTGTTCTTCATTGCTAAGTGCTCTCAGCGCGCCAAGAATCAGCTATTCTTTTCCAAAATGTATTCCTGCCAGGTGTTTTACATTGTACGGAAGCCATCAGTGGTCTGCAATATCTCATTTGAATCTCTATTTTGGGATAATGATAGTTGTTCTCTGTTGATAATAAAATAATTGCTTGGGGACAATGCTCAAAGACGGATTACGCTCTAAAAAATTGCTTTTTGTCTTCTATTCAGTTTAATCCTTCACAATCACTTGTGTTTTGGGCTGATTCATCATCTTTTGCTCCCCACAGGGCTTTCTATGACTGTGCAGCAGGGTGCATTCAAGTTCAACTTGTGAAAAAAATATAAACTACACATAGTTTTATGCACTGCATGGAGTGTGGAAAAATACATCTGTAACGCAGCAATTTAATGGTGAGGTGGTGGTGGAAGTATTGTGCTTTTGTTCAGCAGACAGAGGAATGCTGGACAAACTAAATGGATAGGATGAGTGGAGTTAAATACAGGGAAGTTAGTTAAATCTTGTTAGTATCTCAAAAAAACTTGTTTCTAGAGAGAACAACAACTCTAAAGGTTCAGTCAGAGCTACCACAGTTTAGCAAAAGATGGTTTAATAAAGTTTTGACTTACAAAGCCGACTGCAAAGTCGTGCCACACTATTCAGATTTTTGTTTTAAAACTAATTAAAAACATATTTTTCCTTCCATCTTACAATAACCCAAAACACAGTTCAACACTATAAAGTATTACAGTGATATTGTGACACTTTAAAAAGAATTATGATGTATTAATATTTTTCAAAGACCCCTAAGAATTGCTGGTGATATATTTTAAATTGTTTGTCAGAATTTTTGCATTTGGCTGATGAAAGGCTGAAAATCAAGAAGCTTTTCTGTTGAGAGGCGGGTGAGAGCCTGGAGCTCTGCTGTCAAGAGGAGTGGCACTAAAGACTCAGAACATGAATAAATCACCACAGTTTGACCCATTTAAATACCAAATGGAACCATATTCTCCGCCAGGGAACGAGAGGGATGCATGAACAAACTGACTCATTTCCATTGGTTGACAGACTCAAATACGTCGCCTGGCATGAGTGCAGAGTTTTTGGCTCTGAGTCAAATAGCAGAAATGTGTCCCCAGTTACATTCTGATGTGGAAGGCAGTGGAGTGTGTGTGACAATACTTAATAACACTATAGTTCTGCTGACTAGGCCATATGGTATCTTAGATTATCTCATCTGACGTGATTGAATGGATGTCCTCCATTTGTTGTCTTTTACAACTTCACTGTGCCTCAGTATATAAAACTTTTCTCCTCCATATTGTTTTCATTGTGGAGTTACTCATATCAGCTAATGGAGGTTCCTGTTCATTTATCTCCTTTGTTACTTAACATGAGTTTAACGAGAATCTGAGTAACATTGCTGAAATAGTTTTCGACCTGCAGTTGCATAATAAAAGTCATTTAATAGTGCAATAATATTGGATATTTGGTATATCAGATCTATAGACTTTAATAAATGTTAATGTGACTGTGGGTTTGAGACAGATGGAAAAGAAAATTATTCAATTAGACAATAACAATATTTTAAAATACATATTTTTAAATTGAGTTTCTGTTTTATCTATAATCTACTGGTTAGATTTAGAGCTATGGTGTAAATGAAGTTTTGGATAGGGTTTGGAATAGACTAGTAATGGTTATGGTTCAGGAAAAAGCGTGGTTTAGATACGAAGCAGTTACTAAACTGAATAAAAGTCAATACAAAAGTCCTCACTTCCCATATATGTACAAGGATATGTGTGTGTGTGTGTGTACGTGTGTATGTGTGTGTGTGTGTATGGGTGGGTGTGTGTGTGTGTGTCAGCACGCAGTGGCTCTCTCTACCTTTAGTGTTCAGATACTTTCTGAGCTCCTGCTGCAGAGGCTCGACAGGAAACGGACACAGCTCCTCCACATGGACCAGCGGCACCTTCTGGCCGGCTGCTGACGTCTGCTTCAGCAGGGCGTGGTAATGAGACGCTAATGAGAATGAACCAGATATTTTTCAGAGAGCAGAGAAACGAAAGAGGACAGAAAAGATGGAGCTCTTGGAAAAACAGATCATGTGTTAAGTTTTGAGATTTCTTCAATGCAATATCGATATATCTGTTAACATTTCCTTAAAACCATGACCAAAATCACACATAAACAACTTTACAGCTGGTCTAAGTTGCTGTAGATAAATTTGGGTTCATTAAAAAAATAAATATGTTTTCATTCAAACTTGATGAGTTTGCCCTTTGATCTGCTGAGGCTGTGACATCAATTTGTGACATCACGCTTTTCTGCATTACATCACAACTCTGCATTCTTGAACATAAGTTCATCACAAGACACATTTAGTCAGTGAAGAGTTCAAACATTCCAGGCTTGTGTTCAAACAGACAAACTACGACGGAAATGGAGAAAAACTCAGAGATCTCGAGGAAAATGAATACACAGCTGGATAAGATAAATGATGATATGAATGATATAAGATTAATCTTGAAAGCTGGAAACATAATGGCTAGTGATGACGATGTAGTTCATGCAAGAATCTGGAGAGCAGCAGAGGACATTGATAAACTGCACCAGCTGGATATCACCTTGATGGACGAGAATTCAATTAGAAAAATTGAAGTATTACAGACATTAATTGAAGAGGGCAATTTAAGTTTAAATTTGAGACTCAATAGAGCACTGAAGGCCATGCAAAAATTCGAAAAGCTTGACAACCACATCAAAAATGTACAGAAAGCGGTAATGAAACTGATGAAAGATTCACATACAGAGAGAGAAAAGGAGATGGAAATGACCGAAAAACCACAATTGGATGAAGAAAAAGAGATGAAAATAGATAGAAAGCTGGACAAGTTAATTGATGGCATCTTTGAAATAAGATTCATTTTAAAAAATCAAAATAACATGTCAGCAGAAAATTTAGCGCAAGGGTTTGAAAATCGCCTTTCAGATGACGATTTTCATATGGAAAATATAAATTCAAGACTATGTAGAGCATTGTATGACATACACAAGCTGCAGCAACTGGACTCCAACTTGATTTGCATGGACAAAGACAAAATGAGAAAAATTGAAATACTTCACAAAATGTTGGAAGAGGCCAATGTAAGTTTAAAACTTAGAGTTGACAGAGGAATGGAAATTATAGACACAATGCTGCAGCTGGAAAGCCAGATAGAAAACTTAGGAAAAGGAGTTATGATAGTTAAGAAAGAGTTGCAGACAGCAAAACAGAAGGAGGTGAAAGAAAACCCCAAAAACTCAGAGATGGAAAAACAGAAGGAGGTGACGACGGAAATCAACGAGGCAGAAATGAAAGCAAATCAAGACAAGAAAAAAGAAACAAGCAAATTCCTAAAGCATGTGGCCATAGGAGTTGGAGCAGCTTTAGGGACAGGTTTACTAATTGCGGGCGGAATTTTGATCTGGAAAGCCTTTGCGAAGTAAACCTAAATGGGGCCTCCATCTTCACTATATTCAGAGAAAAGGCTATTTAAACCACACCAGTTTGACAGTCTTGTTTACGACCAACCAGGCATCCCGCACCAGGTGGGGGTGGGGGGGTCCAGGTACTTCCAGGGGCCCGGCTGGGTCCTTGGAACCGTACCCTGGAGCCCCACATACGAGATCCAGGACCTCTGTATTTTGAGGTTGGTCTTGGGGTATGCCCTGTTCCTCAGGTGCCAGGGAGCTGGCACCAGGCAGGGCGGGTCCAGGTACTCCCAGGGGCCCGGCTGGGCCCTTGGATCTGTACCCTGGAGCCCCACACACGAGATCCAGGACCTCTGTATTTTGAGGTTGGTCTTGGCTCCCTGGCCCTGTTCCTCGGGTGCCAGGGAGCTGGCACTAGGCAGGGCGGATCCAGGTACTCCCAGGGGCCCGGCTGGGCCCTTGGATCTGTACTGGAGCCCCACATACGAGATCCAGGACCTCTGTATTTTGAGCTTGGTCTTGGGGTACGCCCTGTTCCTCACGTGCCAGGGAGCTGGCACCAGGCAGGGCGGGTCCAGGTACTCCCAGGGGCCCGGCTGGGCCCTTGGATCTGTATCCTGGAGCCCCAAGTCCGAGCCATTGCCGCCTTAATTCACCAAGCTCATTCTCATTCATTAAGCAATGTGTCAAACCCTTCATGCAAGGGCTGGCATGAATGTAGACAGCCACTCTCTCCAGAGGAGCTGAATGCTGCCAGTCATCCCATTCTCAAGGCTGTTCAGAAGGATGCTTTTCCTGAAGAGTACACTTCTCTCCACGTCACGATGGAGCTTCACAGCTCAAGCTCCATCGTAACTCTTGACCCCTATATGGATGAAGGCCTCATAAAAGGTGGAGGTCGTCTCAAACATGCATCAAGGAAGGCAGTTCACAGAAAGTGTGGTAAGGCAAGCATAGCATTAATATGGTACAACAAACAGACCAGGGGGAGAAAATCTGTTTATCTGTCTTAGCCATGCTAACTAGCTTTAGCATTCGTGACAGGCTATATATATATATATATATATATATATATATATATATATATATATATATATATATATATATATGTTTTGTTTGGTGAGGAGCAGAAGTACGTGAAACTTTCTGACATAACATTTGATGCATTCGTGAAAGAAGGTTAGTGCATTAGTAAAATAATTAGATTGAACTCACTGACATGTTGTGAAATTAGTGGGGTTACTCTACTTATTTCAACCGAAAACATGTATCAGCTGTCAATGTTTTCATTTTCACTTGTTTTATATTTCTTTCTGCTTTAGTTTGAAATTTAACATTCCAGAAGGCAGACAGCAAGATCTGAAAGTATATGACCAGTCTGATACAGAAGTAGAAGAAATAGTGAATCAGTCACCTGGAACCTTTTGAATTATGTTGAGCAACAAAGAAGATCCTGGTAATCACTGTCAATTCACCAATGTATTTATATTTAATGTGGAAGCTGGCTGGGGAGCATTAGAGTTCTTCTAAATATGCTGTTGCTTTACTTTTTGCAGGTGCCATTCTATCATCATCATCTTCAGTCACATCTGATGACACTGTCATTCTGAATTTCATAATGTGTGACCAATCAGAAGAAGAAGCCACTGCTGAAGGAAGTCAACCGAAAAGGCCATGTCACAAATTATGAGGCGCAAGCGGCAAGTTACTATATTTAATTTAGCATTGTTTCAGTACTTTCTAGGTTTATTGGTTTAAGTTTTTAATATTTTCTTCTTTGAAATTGAAGTTGATTGAACAAATCCTGACAACAAAGCCTGGTGGTGAGCATATTATGCAAGAGTATGCAAGAACTAAATGCTTGACAGATGCAACCAGAAGACAGATGATAAACATCCTTAGAGCTGCAATGACAGAAGCACATGGGTAAGAATCATATATTTTAGCGTCCCGGTTGAATGGATGGTCTCTCAAACTGATGGTTCACAATGTTTATTGAATGCCTTTTTATTGTGAACACACCGTAAGAGCTACAGAACATACAAATAAAATACATTAATAACTCAAACAAGTGTTTGAGTTATTAATATCAAGTGTTGTTTTCACATTTTACTTTAACATATAAATTATTTTTCTTACATTCTGTAATTAAACCTTCTGTCATGAAATAAAAAGCAACATATTAACTATTAACGGTTAATTAACGAACATTCGTGCCGTATAATGGTAAAACACAACCGTCACAGCCAAAGCAAATTACACGTTTTACAGTAAAACTAAACATATATTTACATATTAAAAACTCACCTTGTTCCCCATCAACCAAGCGCCAACCAACTGACTGTCTATACCCTAATCTGAACCACTCCTTCATTTACTCCGACTTTACTCCGACCTGAGCGCTCTCTCTTTGCGTGATGACCAGCAGTTAATTGTCAGTTAATTGTCTAACGTTTGCGTCACACTTCAACACTCTTCCGTTTCAAACCCTTTCAAAATAAAAGCATAAATTCTTATGTTAACAAATACTCGTTTTTTAAATGAGGAAACACAAAATACTAATAAGGTCATTTACATACATGTAAAGAAACATTTTGGTTTTGAATTGCTTTTCATTATTCAAACATCAGTTTAGTGACTCATTGCTTGATCATGTATCAGATCATCCCCTCCTAAAAGCATCAGAGTGACGTATGCTCAGGGGATCGTTGCCCTATTTCCCTATCTACAGGACCCGTTTTCAAAACATGGAAATATATTAACCTTCAAAAATGTTTATGGAATGATAAGTTTGCTTGTATTTATTTACATAGGAGCATTAGTATGATCCAGAGAGCGGTTCAGGATACCTTGCATGGCGTTTAAAGACCATTCAAAGAAAAACCTCAGAGGAAAAGGTTGCCTCAAGTAGAACATCTCCCAAAAGTAAGTTTTCTGAACAGTGAGTATAGGTAAAGTAATGTAAAATCTGTGGCTGGGAGTTCTAAACTTTTGTTTTTAAGGTGGTGGACCAGGCCAGGGTCAATCCAGGGTTTTCACTGCTGACAAAGTGCTGTCAGATGAGGAAGTGGAAGCAGCTATAGCTGTTTTGAAACACTCTGCTGATGATGACACTGTCCGTGAGAAGATGAAGGCTACCTTCCATTACCGTCATTCAATGGTCAGTGATGAAAAGAAAGCATTGAACGTCTTCTCTGTCTTTCCACGATTTCTGGACACACCCGGACTGGTAAGACAGCTTTATGTCTGACATTACTAAAATATTCAGTGGCATCAATCATATGAGTTTGTACTGTATGTAACCTGTGTTTTACCAGTTTGAACCACAACTCTTTCTAAATTGTCATGTCCTTGGGGGGAAAAAAACACTTCACTTGCCTTGCCTGCTAGTGGTGTTCAGAAGACCTGGTGACACAAGGGGTGCGCATATGTTGTTGCTCTGCAGAAGAGCAGCATGCATGCAAATAACCTCTTTTTGTGACAGAGTCGTAATATTATGTCTTTAGAAGTTGAAACTGATTGTAGGAAACAAACCAGTTATTTTTAAAAGTAAAAATAAAGATGTAATAGTATTTTATGGGTTTAATTAAGTTTCAAATAGCTGTTTGTGGATTTCGTCCTTCATTATATCCGTGGCTAAAGTGAAAACAACAGTGCTTCAGCTGGGCAGTTGGGACATTACCTGTGATGTAAGCTAAATAGGATTTCAAATAAAATAGGTTAGCATAATTCATTTTGCCTTCTATCCAAAGGAGAGAGCACAGGAATAAAAAACTATTTTACTTTCTGTCCAGAGGATTTAGGTCGCACAGCAGTTCATGTTACACATAAGAAGATTGTAAATTGAACATTATGGCTTGTTTCCAACTGTTCCACATTGTCCCACTGTGTGTGTCTGTTCTTGTCAGATGAGCTCATTAATATCTTAAATTCATGTTTGCCTAGATGTGATGAGTGACAAGAACAGCGGCATTGGGAAGCAGGGAGGGTATTTCAGCTGAGGGGAGAAGGGGTGGAGGATCACAGGACGCCGGTACGAGTGAATTTGCTCTTTCTGTCTGTATTTCAGCAGAAAAGCTGACTCAGCCTCAGTCTCAGGGTCACCAGTGAAAAGGTTGTTTATTTGCAGGTCAAACAGAACCTGAGCAAGCTTGGTGACACCAACTGAGCCCAAAGCTCGCTGCACTGCTATCAGTGTTGGTGTCAGCTCCAGATACATTCATTACCCAACTGGTGGTGGAGGAAGAATCATCTGAGCTTTAAAGGCAACTGATTTTATTACAGCTTAAATTTACAACTGAAACACTGCAGCTACGGAAACCTAGAATGATTCATCCTTTTCGTCATAGAGTACATGTCAGAGTATCAGGGGCTGCTTGTTTAGAATTAGAGACTATCTGTTAAAAAAAAATAAAAAATAGCAAATCTAATTGGAGCAGGTTTGAATACATATACACATAACAAGGATCCTAAACATATTTTGTTCAGTTTTTAAGCTCAGATCAATTGACATTTGAATTGTTATTGACATGAGGAAGTGAAATGAGCAAGTTTTAACCTTTGTTGAATATTGGTTTATTGGTAATCTTTAATCATTAAAGCGAGGTGTATATTTTTAAATCACTTTCTTTTTCAGATGTGGATAAAACAAATCAAGAACATACACTCGTATGTGAACATTCCTTAATGAAAACTAAATATTTAATGGATGTCCTGATTTTTTTAGATGAGTGGAGATGTGACAGTAAGCTTAGGCTGTGCTTGGCTGCTTTTGGCACATTAGAGCCACTCTTGCAAAGACAGAACAATGTGTCTCCACACATTGAGGACAGAAGCAGGGCCGCGCTGTTTGTTTACTTAAAATCTGTTAATTATTCAAAAATAATGAGGCTCAGAAGGGTTGAAATGCTGCTGGACTGTGTCTCTTTGAAGACATGCCTGTATTGATCTAACCTAATGAAGGTTTTTTTTTTCTTCTTCTTTTAAGAAAATCCCAAATGTGTGCCAATTAGTCTGCTGGATCCTGAGTTTGCAATGAGCTCAAACGTGATGCTGCGTTGCGGACTTCAAAGGAATCACCTGCTGATTGACCCCTAAACACGACATCAGTGTTGACTTGGAGGACATCTGAATGCGTCTCTGTTCGTTTTATGACAGAAGAGTCAAACATGTGAAGATTGGCCACTCGGCGAAGCACTTTCATGTATAAGTTTCCCCGTTCTTGACATCATCTTCCTCGTCCTCCTCCAAAATCATCTTGATTTAGAAGTGCTAATGGACGCCCTCTCTCCTCTTGCTCTTTCACTCTTCATCTATTAGCATTATGCTAAGCCTGGAAATGGATCTAAATTATCCCATTCACCACAAGAGTTGAAACACTCTGCAGCATTTCTCCTCAGTCAGAGAGCCTCTGTTGTACTGTGCAACATTTATGCAAAGAACCCAATCTGACATCTGCAATTAATAATGCATTCTCCATATGTAATGGAAGTGATTAATTATAAAAACCCTCTTTTAATCTTCCAAACAAACAAGGCTATATAAAAAAAAAAAAAAAATTCCCTTCTCACCCACCGCGGGTGGTTATTATCCTCTGAGCTCGGGTCCTCTACCAGAGGCCTGGGAGCTTGAGGGTTCTGCGCAGTATCTTGGCTGTGCCAAGGACTGCACATTTCTGGACTGAGATGTCTGATGTTGTTCCTGGGATCTGTTGTAGCCACTGCTCCAGTTTGGGGGTTACTGCCCCGAGGGCCCCGATGACCACAGGCACCACTGTGGTCTTCACCTTCCAGGCCCTCTCCAGTTCCTCCCTGAGGCCCTGGTATTTCTCTAGTTTCTCGTGCTCCTTTTTCCTGATGTTGCAATCACTTGGTATTGCTACATCTACCACAACGGCTTTCCTCTGATGTTTATCCACTACGACAATGTCTGGTTGGTTCGCCATTACCATTTTGTCTGTCTGGATCTGGAAGTCCCACAGGATCTTAGCTCTGGCGTTCTCCACCACCTTTGGGGGTGTTTCCACTTTGATCTTGGGGTTTCCAGTCATATTCTGCACAGATGTTTCTGTACACTATGCCTGCCACTTGGTTATGTCGCTCCATGTACGCTTTCCCTGCAAGTATCTTGCACCCTGCTGTGATGTGCTGGACTGTCTCAGGGGCCTCCTTGCACAACCTACACCTTGGGTCTTGTCTGGTGTGGTAGATCTGGGCCTCTATTGCTCTGGTGTTTAGGGCCTGTTCCTGGGCTGCCAGGATGAGGGCCTCTGTGCTGTCCTTGAGTCCAGCGTTTTCCAGCCATTGGTAGGATTTACTGATATCAGCCACTTGGGTTATTTGCTGGTGGTACATCCCATGTAGGGGTTTGTCCTCCCATGATGGTATCTCTGGCACCTCAACCTCCGTTCCCTGTTGTCTGAGACATTCACTGAGCACATTGTCTGTTGAGGCTTTGTCTCTGATGTATTTATGGATCTTAGTTGTTTCGTCCTGGACAGTGGTTCTCACACTCACTAGTCCTCTGCCTCCTTCCTTGCGGCTCGTGTACAGTCTCAGGGTGCTGGATTTGGGATGGAACCCTCCATGCATTGTTAGTAGCTTTCTGGTCTTAATATCTGTGGCTTTTATCTCCTCCTTTGGCCAGCTAATTATTCCAGCAGTATCTGATTGCTGGCAAGGCATAGCTGTTTATCGCACGGATTTTGTTCTTGCCATTGAGCTGGCTTCTCAGGACTTGCCTTATTCGTTGGAGGTATTTAGCTGTGGCTCCTTTCCTTGTGACCTCATCGAGGTTGCCATTTGTTTGTGTATACCTAGGTACTTGTAACTGTCCTCTATGTCTGCTATTGTTCCTTCTGGGAGTGAGACCCCCTTCTGTGTGGATGACCTTCCCCCTCTTTGTGACCAGCCGACCACATTTCTCTAGTCCGAATGACATCCCAATGTCAGTGCTGTAGATCCTGGTGGTGTGGATCAGTGAGTCGATGTCTCGCTCACACTTGGCGTACAGCTTGATGTCATCCATGTAGAGTAGGTGACTGATATTGGCCCATTTTTGAGTCTGTATCCGTAGCCAGTCTTGTTGATAACTGGCGGAGGGGGCTAGGCCTATGCAGAACAGTAGCCGGGACAGAGCATCTCCTTGGTATATGCCACATTTGATGGACACTTGTGCAAGTGGTTTGCAGTTGGCTTCAAGGGTGTTTTCCACAGCCTCATCGAGTTTGCAATGAAGGCTCTCAGAGTCCTGTTGATGTTATACATCTCTAAGCATTCAATGATCCAAGTATGCGGCATTGAGTCATAGGCTTTCTTGTAATCAATCCAAGCCATGCACAGGTGGTGTGTCGGGTTTTGCAGTCTCGGGCAACTGTGCGGTCTACGAGGAGTTGGTGTTTGGCTCCTCTGCTATTTACACCGATACCCTTCTGTGCCGTGCTCATGTGTTTATCCATGTGTTTGCTTATCTTGGCCGCTATGATGCCTGACATGAGCTTCCAGGTTGTGGAGAGGCAGGTTATTGGTCGGTAGTTGGGTGGGACTGGACCCTTTGATGGATCCTTCTGGATTAGGATTGTCCGCCCTTCAGTTAACCATTCAGGGTGAGTCCCACTTTGTAGCAGCTGGTTCATTTGGGCTGCCATTCGCTCATGGAGAGCAGTGAGTTTCTTTAGCCAGTAGGCATGGATCATGTCAGGCCCTGGTGTTGTCCAGTTTTTCATACCTGAGACTCTTTCTTGGACATCTGTCACAGTGATGGTTACCGGGGCTTGCTCAGGAGGTTGCTGTGGTCCTCTCGTAGAGAGATCAGCCACTGTGCATTGCTGTTGTGGGACGCCTCCCTTTCCCATATGCCTTTCCAGTATTGTTCCGTCTCCAGCCTTGGTGGGTCTGCTCTGTTGTTATTGTTACCCTGCCATTGAGAGTACACCTTAGCTGGTTGAGTGGAGAAGAGCCGGTTTAATCCTTCTGGATTCATTCTCCCTTGTGTATCTCTTTAGGCGGCTGGACAAGGCTTGGAGCCTCTGTTTGGCAGTCTCGAGTGCTTCAGGTATGGGCATCTGCCTGTACTTTCTGGGTACTGGTCTTTTCATTGTACCCTTGTGGAGCTCTGACAGTTGGCTCACTTCCCTCCTTGTTACCTTGATTTTAGCCTCTAACCGTCTTTTCCATGGTGGGTATTGGGTCTCATGGTTGCTCTTATAGCCAAGTATCTCAAGGATCACTGATGCTGAGTTGTAGATCAGCTCATTGGTTTCTGTTATGGTGTTGGTAGGATCGTTCTCATGCTGCATTCACATTCTCAATGAGACTTCAGATGGTACTTCACTCAGCCGTTGTAATTGGCGCCGGGGAGGCCTGGTTGTCATTCGGGTCATGATTCTCTCTCTCAGGTCAGCAGCTGTCTCGTTCAGCTCTGTTTCGCTCATTGGGCCGTGTATCCCTCACTGGGTGGGGACTTGTAGTTAAGTCCCCACAGTCCTGACATCCGGGTTCCTCCCTTTTGCCGTAGCATTTGTGTTGTATCTCGTCAATCTCAAGTTGTGATAGCAGTTGCCGTTTGCGGATGTTGGAACACTGAGCTACTAGTTGTTTAGCGCTTAGTGTTGAATGGGGATGTCGAAGTAACCATTCCTTCCCCAGTCTTTGCATGTAACCTCTCTCACTAGGGTTACTTGAGTAGTAGCATTCCAACAGATCCACATTTTCATCTCTCGCCCATTTCCGTCTTGTTCCAGTAGCCCATTTGTCATCAAGGTGCTCTGGTTCCCCAACACCTGACGCAGACCTTGTTTATATATATATATATATATATATATATATATATATATATATATATATATATATATATATATATATATATATAATATATATATATATATATATACATATAGGGTGGGATAACCCAACAAGAAGAGACAAAATGTGTCTTTTTTTTTCTTGCAAATGTAGACAAAAAAATATTGCACAGCCCCCTCCTCAATTAACCAGCCTGGTGGAGCAGCCCGGAGCAAACTGGTTTCCAACTGGGTGTGGCAAAAGAGGGGGAAAAAATTCCATCACTCTTCGTTTTTTCTCCTAAGCAAAATCCATTCCCCTCTTGTTATGTGTGTTTACCCTCTGCGATTTTTCTCCCCAGTTACACAGGCAGCAGTTTCTCTTTTGAATGAATGAATGTTTACTTATTTTTGAACAAAATTTTGAACAACGAAGGAGGGAAAGAAAGAAAAACAAAAAGAGACAGAGAGAGAGAGAGAGAGAGAGAGAAAACAAGATGTATAAAAAGTCAGTTTGACAGTTCAATAGTAATATTAGGATGTAAGGATGAAGTGTTTTTGTAGTTTGATTCTGACAAGTTCTCAGCTTTCTGACTACAAAAAAAAGCAGCATTTCTTTGAAAAGCTGTGATGTTTTTAAGCTGAAGGACTGGAAGTGGCAGAATATGTAAGAAAAAAAAACCCTGAAGTGGTTCAAACAAGAAAAGGTGCTGGTTGAAGCGCTTTCATTCAGACAGCTGCTTCAGCTCTCTTAACTCTTATCTCTTTTGAAAACATCTGAAAAAGGCACCTGGGATCTAAATAGAGACTCAAGGCCAAAAATGTTTTGGAGTATTACATTCTTTTTCTGCTGAATGCTCCTATCTTTGCTTCTCGTATCAGTGAAAAGCTGCTGGCCCTCAGACTCTCACGGAGCATGAAGCCAACAAAGAGCAGTTGTCTTTGTTCAGCTGGTGCAGGAGAGAGGGGGGAGCGAGCAGGGAGGCAGAAGGATGGAGGATGGGGAGGTTTTCCTTCTCCAGAATGAACATGTGAAGCTAAAAAGATCATTTTTTTCCCCTGCAGTGATCACACGGTGAAAGTCACATTTTTCGGTTCTCCCTGTATTGTCAGACAAAGCCGAGCATGTTTTCAACCCAGACGAGAGAGACTCTGATGGATTTATTGACTGGCTGGTGGAAACAGAAAACAAAAAGCAAAGAACTTAAGAACCTGTGGAAGTGCAACACATTCTTCAATCGCCGATAAATATCCTTCGTTTTGATTGTTGTATAGGAATAAAACAGGTTTTACTTTAAATATACTAGAATGTCGCCAAATCTGTGTCCGTTTACGATCTCAATAAAGTTCAGATGTGGTATTTGTGTGGGTTTATGGACAATTGGTTCAAACCCAAACACTCATTATCTTCAAGCGTTGCCAATTTGCAAGCCATCTGAACAAAACAGCTTCATCAGTAACAGCCTATAAAAATCTTTGTAATGAACTGCAGCGACCATCATCTCCAAAGAGACAAGACGCTCGCCTCAGCACTGCAGAAGCACTGACCCTCTCACTGTCAGGGGTTCAGTTATGTTCTTTAATCTGACTTATGTTTATGGGACATAATTATAATCATAGTCATATATCAAACGTAGAGCATTGTTTACATTCATTCATATACGTTTGTTAAAAAAAAAAAAAAAACTTAAATCTCCCATAGCTCAAAGCTCTCCCTCTGGAGCATCAGGTAAGATGCTAACAGAGCC